TTTCTTTCTTTCTTTCTTTCTTTCTTTCTTTCTTTCTTTCTTTCTTTCTTTCTTTCTTTTTTTGTGGAACCGGGGATTGAACTCAGGCCCTTGTGCTTGACAGGCAAGTGCTTATTCAACTGAATTATCTCCCTGGCCCCTCTTTCTTTCTTTCTTTCTTTCTTTCTTTCTTTCTTTCTTTCTTTCTTTCTTTCTTTCTTTCTTTCCTTCTTTGTTCTGTGTATGTGTTTACAGACAGGCTCCTCATGCAGTCCCGCTGGCCTTGCACTCACAGCGGTCCTCCTCCCTCAGCCTCCTGAGTGCTGGGATCACAGGCGTGTGGCACCGCACCTGGCAGAATCATGGATGCTCTCTTGTTCCCTACCTTCTGCCAGCCAAAGAGAAGGGGTACACCTGATCCTTATCTTGCAGGAAAAAGTGCCGTGACTGAGTGGCAGAAGCAAATGGTTCTTGATCCTTGGCGCCTTTAGACATAGAGAGGCAGGGGACAGCTACACACAGAAGTTCAAGCTTCCAGTCCAGGTCTGAAGTCGTCTCGGCCCAGAGGGTTCGGAATTTTTCAGTGAGGCCAGGGACACCTCTCTGAAGGCTCTCTGGCCTGGTGGTCCCCGAGGCGCTTCCTGGGAATGTGTGTGCACAACCACCTGGAGAGCTGGCCACGGCTTAGGGCGCCACTGTTGGTTACTAATGGAGGAGAGCAGTGGCCTCCGTCACTCCGCCTGGGGACGTGGCCACGGTTGTCCTTTCACGTCAGTCTGGACATGACCCTACTCTTCCATACCTTGAGGCTGTTTCCAGACCCTGTCCTTCCTAGGTGCTCGTGGTACTTGGCTCAGGTGGCTCTCCCAGCAGGGAAGGGTCACACGTTTCCGAGACGTTCCAAGTATTTTTATTGCCTGCCCGGGATGGACTGGATAAATACGGCCCCCAGCAAGCAATAGGAAGAGGAGGAAGCTGGCCTGGACCTGTGGTCCATGGGCTGCCAAAACTGTCCCCTGCCACAGCCAGAGGGCCACGGCCTCGCTCTTTCTGCCTCAGCCTTTGCTCTGCGCTGCCCTCAGGGCCATGCAGGCGGCACTGCCACACTGGCAGGGCTCATGGCTCCAGACGAGGGATCATGCCAGAGCCAATGGCTGCCCTGCTCTGTGGCTCCCAGGACCACCTTTCGGCTGGCCCTAGTCCCGGCTGGCAGCTCCTCCCGATGCCTCACCCGGGCCCTGGAGGCTCACAGCAGGCCTCCAGCACGCTCAGCCTCTCCACCCTGAGGGCATTCGGTTCTCTGCTGCCTGGGCCTCCCTCTCCTCCTGCCACCCTCCGCCCTCCGCACGCTCCCTACCCTGCCTGGGGACGTGGCCACGGTTGTCCTTCCACATCAGTCTGGACATGACCCTACTCTTCCATACCTTGAGGCTGTTTCCAGACCCTGTCCTTCCTAGGTGCTTGTGGTACTTGGCTCAGGTGGCTCTCCCAGCAGGCTTTGTGGGCAGGCTCTGCCCACACAGCGCTAGAAAGAAGAGCAAGCTATCTGCATCTGTATCAATATATATA